TCTAAAAAATCATTCTCTATAAAAACCCAATCTCTTTCTTTCTCTCTCTAAAAAATCATTCTCTCTATCAATCTCTCTCTTTCTCTAAAAACTCAATCTCTATCTCTAAAACCCATTCTCTCTCTAAAACCCAATATCTATTTCTCTCTCTAGAAACCCAATATCTCTCTCTAGAAACCCAGTATCTCTCTCTCTCTAAAACCCAATCTCTTTCCATCTCTAAAAACTCATTCTCCTTATCTAGAAATCCAATCTAGAAATCCGTTCACAAATTCATTCCCCAAATCCAATCTTTGAAGCAAATCCTTTGAAATTTCCCTTGTTTTGTGGAAGCTACGATTTTCTTTTTTGTTAATTTGTTTTTGGGCTTTTGGCTTTGTATTGGACTCAAAGTACACTTATGCACCCGAGTAACTAGCCTTGAGTTACCGTGGGCAGGAAAAATGGGTAATTCCATGTTAGATAGAGGGAGAGAGGTGCCTGGTAAGTCCGTTAAAAGTGTAACGCTAAATTACAAAGTACAATATTCATGCGTCTTAAATTCTTAATTGTTTTGATTTCTCAGTGCCTCTTTTGGTAGTGCGCCACATGGTATAACCACAAAATCCAGCTCCAATTGCAAATTTTAGAAACTTTTACTGAACATAACCATAATGGCTTCCACCATCCACGTTAGGATTTCATATTCTCCATTTTTCATATTCATTCCAGATACAAATTTCTTTCGATTTTAGAAATCTAGCATCGATCTCAGAGGCAATTCTTAGTTGGTCTTATTGTGCTTAAGTGATAGGAAAGAAGAATAAGAAGCAGAGGAGGAGGAGGATGATGGGCTATGGTGCAAGAATGCTCTGCACCAGAACCACAAGTGTTCTCTGCTATCCTGTGCGTTCTGGCTTCTGCATTTTCCCAATCTGTTACGGGTTTAGCATCAGCTTCCCTGCTCCAGCGATCATTGCAAAACCAGCCAAGGACTTAAATAGTACATGTAAGTCAGCCAGAGATGGGCTTAACTGGCTCACCATCAGACAGAGACAGATGGTACAAATCCTTCTTACCGGATACCGTCACTGCAAGTGAATCTGATTCCAGAATGCTGTATGCGTCTAGCGAGGTGATCGATGGCTTTGCTGCAATACTCACCCCTGCGAAAGTAGAATCGATGATGACCAAAGAAGGCTTCCTGCATGCCTACCCAGATGAACTTCTAGCCTTACAAACCACACATTCCCCTCGATTCCTGGGGCTTAGCCCAAAGCATGGGATTTGGCCTAATACTCGGTTTGGAAAAGGAACCATCATTGGTGTTTTAGACACTGGTATATGGCCGGAGCACCCATCTCTGAATGACATTGGGATGTCACAACCGCCCAAGAAGTGGAAGGGGTGGTGCGTGGATGCCGGCCCTGACTTCAACTCATCTCACTGCAATAAGAAGCTAATAGGTGCCCAAGTATTCACCAAGGGTGCCCTTGCTGCAAAAGCTAATGTCTCTGATTCACCCCGTGATGATGAAGGACATGGCACGCACACTGCCACGACTGCTGCGGGACAATTTTGTTCCTGGGGTGGAGTTGTTCAACAGCATCAGGGGCACGGCGTCAGGCACAGCCCTCCTTGCGCACCTTGCAATCTACAAGGTGTGCTATAATAATATGGCCTGTTATGCATCCGATATCTTGGCCTGTTTCGACAAAGCAATTTTGGATGGGGTGGATGTCTTATCCATCTCCATAGGACTTGATATGACCTAGAACTTCACTGGTGACATCATTGCCATTGGAGCGTTTGAAGCTGTGCAGAAAGGCATCCTTGTGAGTTGTGCGGCAACGAATGATGGACCTGATGAGGGTACTGTACGGAGTACAGCACCTTGGGTCCTAACAGTTGGTGCCAGCACGATGGACCGCGAACTCTGGGCAGACACAAAGCTTGGTAATGGGCAAATCTTTACTGGCCAGTCTCTCTTTCAACCAAAAGATTTCAAGCCCACACTATTCCCTTTGGTGCATCTCTTCTCTGACCCAAAATGCAATGGCAACCTAAGTACAACAGCCCTCTCTGGTAAAGTGCTACTGTGTGAGGACGGTTGTGGAATGGTATTGGAAACCTACTTCTCATTCCTAAAAGGTGGGGGCGCGGCCATGATAATTACAAATCCTGAAGATGATCCACTTTTCAAACACTCCTCGCGGCAGATATATTGCCTGTATCTAATGTGAATTTCTATGATGGTAATAAGATAAGGGCCTACTTAAACTCCACCAAGAATCCAAAGGCAGGGGTTGTGTTCATGGGATCAGTCTTTGAGAAAACAGCAGCTCCTATGGTGTCTGCGTTCACCTCAAGAGGGCCAAACATAGTAAGCCCAGGCATTCTAAAGCCGGACATTATAGGGCCGGGTGTGAACATTGTAGCAGGCTGGCCATCAAACTTAAGCCCAACTGGAATCGAAGATCCAAGGAGAGTTGTTTTCAACGTGAAGATTGGAACTTCAATGTCAACCCCCCATCTCAGCAGCATAGGGGCTCTACTAAAGGCTGCCCATCCGGATTGGACCCCAGCAGCCAAAAAATCGGCCTTGATGACTACAGCTGACATTCTAGACAATAAGGGGAAGCCCATAAAAGAGCATGACATGATCTGGCCAATGTCTTTGCCTTGGGTGCAGGTCATGTAAACCCTAACAAGGCCATCGATCCTGGCCTCATCTACGACATTGAGGCTGATGACTATATACTTATTTATGTCGTTGCAGTACACATGAGCATAAATACAAATCATTACGAGACAGAGGATTCATTGTTCAAATAAAACCATAATTACTGAAGGGGATCTCAACTATCCATCTTTCTCTGTTGTCTTCTCTCCTTCTGGGCCTTCTTCCTTTACCTTTAAGAGGACAGGAACAAATGTTG